TCTGCCTCGACTGTTACATGTGGACGTGTAACAAGATCAACTATCCATTCATATTCGAGTTTGATACCAGAAATAGCTTGGATTGGAGACAACTGTCAAGCTTCCCGAGCTTCTTTTTATTACTTTTCGGTATATTCTTTTGGATAAATTTTACTAGATACGGCTCTGATGAGTTGTATCTGTATTATCCAGTAATCCTAATAGGCATCACACTTTTTATCCTGTTACTACCGGCACCGATTCTATGGCATAGAAGCCGCCAATGGCTTGTTTATTCCCACGTAAGTGCCCCATTTGACAAGTTACAACTTAGGGTCTGACTCCTCTTAGTATCGATTATTCTTCGCTGGAATATACCCTGTTGAATTCCGCGACTTCTTTCTCGGAGACATGTACTGCTCCCTGACCTACGCTACCTCTGTAAGCGAAGATAAGCTTCAAATCGTGGATCGCCTTCTGTCAGCTAACCTCGAAACAAGAACATCGAACTCTTCTTCTGTCTCTATGCGCATCATTGGAATAATCCTGTCCAATGCAACTCGAATAATTCTCGCTTATTGGGATTCTTCTCGGCGCTTCCACCAATCTGGCGTTTGCTGCAATGTATTCGTCGATACCGCGACACCAAGAACGTCTTCCCACATCTTGTCAACGGCGGCAAGTACGGCATGACCATAATGTCGTATGTGACTCTATCGCTATATCGCATGAGAGCTACTCAGTCAAACCTCGGCCTGTTCGTCACTTTCTCGACCATGAACGGCATTTACACTTGTAAGTTTTGCCATCAACTCGCTATCACCATCCTCCTGTATGCTGAACTTGGTCTAACACGAGAGCTATAGCAATCTGGGATCTTTTCATGGATTTCTCTTTCTTCCAGCCTGAAACACGTCACCGATTCCTGCGTAACATCCTCGGTCTCAAGCGCCGGTGGTTGTACTATGTTATCATGGTACTAGACCCGATACTCCGCTTCAATTGGATCTTCTATGCCATCTTCGCTCATAACAAGCAACATAGCACCTTCGTCTCATTCCTCGTCGCCTTGGCAGAAGTCACCCGCCGTGGCATGTGGGCTCTATTCCGAGTCGAAAACGAGCACTGCGGCAACGTCGCCCAATACAAGGCCAGCCGCGATGTGCCCCTGCCGTACCCTCTGCACCATCACGAACCACTTGTCGAGCGTGTGAGTACGGACGAGGAGGAGCAAAGGAAGGCTACGGCACCTCCACCACCGCGGCGACCTAGTAATGTACAGCCTGTCGAAGGAGCGGCCGCAAGCTCAGTCGATATTAGTACGGCAGGCGCTTCGGCCCTTGGTCGCGAACAGACACAGTCGCAAGTGCAAGCCCAGGAACAAGCAGAGGCTGGCACGATGCGGTGGCGTCGCAGACCAGAGGTCTTGCACGCACGATCAATCCGAGGTATCATGGCGGACGCGCACAGACAGGACTTTGAGAAGCGGCGTCGGCCTGTTGAGCGCGCGCCCTCGGAGAACGGAGGTGATTTGGACGATGAGGATGTGCCGATTGAAGAGGATGAAGATGACGACGACGACGACGACGATGATACGGGGAGTATGCTGGATGAGCGTATGGAAGCTAGACGGACTGAGAAGTTAGTTAAGCCTGAGACGAGTGGGAGTAGTGAATGAGCATGAGATAAAGAGCGTGGGTTCTATCGGGTTTGGGTTTAAATAGAGGAGATTATAACGTCTCGTTAATTATAATAAGTGTAATTTGGCTTGAAAGACGGGTTTGCTTTGATAGCGATTCTATTACAATTTGATACCATGATTCCTGACCTCGAGATTAGTGAGTTTCCCGGACGAGACGACCATTTGAGTTCCATAAGGTAGACTGTTGACATACTACGATATCTTGAATCCAATCTGAAGCCACGGTGTCAACGTATATACCGTTACCCTATTAGACTTGGGAGCTCTAAGATAACGCCCATATATCCTATCTACAACCAAATTAGAGGTCGATCTGGCGAAGAACATCCATACCTACAATGAAGTAACAAGCATCCATCACTCCTTAATCCTCTCAAATCGCACAAACAACCCATCAGCAGGCCTAAGCGTCAAACTCGGATTCGCAAACTTGACACCCCTACCCACCTGCTCCTCACCACCAGTCAACAACACCCCATCCCCTCCATCCCCTCCTTTCCCCCCATTCCCTCCTCCCCCACGACTCACCCGTTCGATCCCGAGGAACCGAAACCGAGGCACCAACTCCAGCAACACAGCCTTGACAACGACGACGGCAAAGTTGCGGCCCGGACACGTGCGCGGGCCCTGCAGGAAGGCCTCGAAGGCGAATGGCGAGGACGCGTCGCCGGTTAGATGGTCCCAGCGGTCGGGGTCGAAGATGCTGGCGTTGGGACCCCAGATCGAGGGGTGGTGGTGCGGGAGCGGGATTATGAGGTCTATTTGTGTGCCCTTTGGGATGAGGGTGTTGGAGATTGTTAGGGGGCGGGTTGTTTCGCGTTGGGCCATGTATGCTGGGGGTGGTTAGTGGGGGTTTGAGGGTTGGGGTTGGGGAAGAGGAAGGGGGTAAGGGGAGGCGAGAAAGGGAGTACGGAATAGGGGATAGGGTGGACGTACATGGAGGAAAGACACGGAGGACCTCACGGAGGAAATTGTGCAAGAATGGCAAGCTGGAGATAGAGTCGTAGTCTGGCTCCGGATTCGTTTTTAGTAGGGAATTGATCTCGGATCGTAGTCGATCTTGTATAGAAGGGTTCGTTGCGAGGACGTAGAGACACCATGATATGGTAGTCGCGGAGCTTTCATGACCTAGCAGTGACAGTGATTTAGTGATATAGGCTCATATCTGATACCAAGATGGCGAAAGACTAACCTGCGGAGGTAAAATTCAGAAGCTAGATGCGCAATCTTGTCAGCGTCATTCTACTAGAAACAGGGGAGATTGGGTTTTCTCACATGGCCAATAATATCATCCACGGTCCAGACTTCCTTCCCCGTCTCCTGCCGGCGCAACTCAGCCTCTTCCAACATATACGTCAAGAGGTCTCTAGACTCTCCCATTTCCTTCTTGTACGTCCCATCAGTTAAGTCTGCCCTGCGCTTTTGGATAATGTCTCGCAGCATCTTTCTTAGGTCGGTGATAGCCTGGATGAATCTATGATTTGCTTCCAAAGGAACTATGCGCCGGATTGGTATGAAAGCATTGACAACCCAAATTAACTGACCCAAGGCGCCTTGGTGTAGTACCCGGCTGTAGAGTTCCTGGAAACCTAGCGGGTACATGGAGGATAGAGTGTCTAACTCGATTCCTAGGACTGTGACACCTATGGTGTCCATAGTTGATTTGGATAAAGTCTCGATTGCTAGAGCAGAGGTTAGTCTTCAGACAGCCAGGTTTATGGTAGCCTTTTCCATTCGTAGCTCACCTTCCACAGTCCCATGCGGTTTATCTCCGAGTAAGTTCTCAAAAACCCTTGTTATATCCTTCGCCTTCTCCCTAAAGACAGGTAAAAGCTTCCTCATACTCGGAACCGAGAACGGACCAGCCAGTAATCTCCGCTCGCGCTTATGATGCTCCCCTTCCGCAAACAACAGCCCCACGCCAGTAATCTCGCCGACTAGACGCGCGAAGAATGGCGGCTTGACAAAGTCGTAGACGTGTGTCTGGAGGACGGCCTTATGCGCAGCTAAGCTGTTCACTAGCAGAACCTCTTTGCCTGCGAACGAGAGGTACCTGATGAATGGCGCGTCGGGCCATTTGCGCATCCATTCTAGTTGGACGCTGACAGGGCTTTCGGCTTTGAATTTTCTTACTTCTTGTCCGAGGATGAGGTTATGGTCCTAAACATCGATTAGAGGTATTCGATGTTATATAATCCTGAGTGGTTCATATCCTTCATACCTTTGGTCCGGGTATGTGCTTAAGAGGCGAGAAGTAATTGGGGTATAATACGACACGGTAAATTTTGAGGAAGACATATTGTATGAGAACCCCAACGAAGAATTTCTTCAAAATCGATAACTGGTAAAGTTCCCTACCAGGGACGAGCGCGACTAGTTCTAGCGCTGTCAGTCCGCCGCAGGTAATGATATCCATTTCGCAGTTACAGGAGTGTATGGAAGCCGACCCGAAGGGCAACTAGCAAAGTCATTTATGAATAAGACAAAGATTTCTTGCTACATATGTACCTATCTAAGGTAGTAACGCCATGCTCGGCTCACTTGCTGCCCTTAACTTATGGTAATAAGCGGCGTCTGTGGCCGTGTTCCCCAATCAGACCGGCGGGAGTCGCCAATATTATGTGATACCCTAAGGTGGATTTCCTGGAGCAATGGTAGGAGAACGCGAGAGCTGACTTATTCGAGACACGATAGTCACACAATAGAGGTCGATATCCACTAGATATCGTAAGCACTTTTTCTCCTCATGCGATTTGCTGCCTCGCTATTTGCCTGATCTGGTGTCTTCGTAGGGTTGAGTGGAACATCTAGCCCAGCAAACGACGATGGCGCCAAGATGTATTCCAACCTTGAAAGGAATCTAAGCGAAGAAAAGAATTCAGGGACATAATATTTGCAATATGAGGATAAAGCAAAGGAGTTCGATGCTATTGCGGTTCATTTTGAGACCTATTACTTGAACTTGATAATCTAAGTCAGTGATGGCGTCAGCCAGACATCGGGTATGAACGGCACCGTCATTGGGTATTAGAAGTAGTGGTATCTGTATCTTGTTAGCGTATCTTGTATAGCACACTTTGACTGTCCTGGAGTACCTGTATCTAGTCCGTACTAAGCCCGTCTGTATCAATTCGAAAGAGGAATGAAATTCTGAAGCTTGGTTCGGGACTTGAAGAGATCGGAGCTAGCGTCCCAAATACCGCCGAGCCCCGCACAACTAGCAGACTGCGGGCTTTTTCGATTCGTCCCGGCTCTCTGTCAAGCTTTATTTTCCACGAAAACGAGCCCGTCCATCACCAGCTAGACAGCTAGCTACATCGGTGAGATGGCCGAGTTGGTCCATGGCGCGAGGTTAAGGTATTAAAATCTTAACACGATTTCCTCGTGGGGAAACCCTCGTGGGTTCGAATCCCACTCTCATCAACATTTCTGTCCCTACTCTCCAGAGCAGAGACAAGTAAATACATTTTTGCTTTTTTACTCTTTTTCCTTTTTTTTTTACCCCCTCGCTTTCTTTTGTTAGATTATCTATCCGATCTGCTTGGAATGAGGTAACGATATACTGTCTCCCCTCAACAACTACGAAAGACCATGATGCTAAGCCGAGTTGGTCATATGGTGAGGCCAAGGTAATCACCGTTAGCATATAATTCCCTCGTGGAATAATCCGCTTCTGTTTAACTCTCAGTATATTTCCTTATACATTCGCAACATTCTACTTTACTTTTATATGACCGTCGAAGAAATAGCAAAGAGCGATGCCGTTCAGAACTTGGGTACTTATATTTTGACGTGGCTGCTCATGCCTGGAATGTTGCTTTCGGGGAATGTTCCTGCGCACGAGGATCCTGGATGGGGTCGGCAAGTACCTAAATCCCCTGTAACGGCATCCGGTAGGTGGGTTTTGGAGGCTACCACATGATCTACATAGGTCATCTGCAGGGGTAGTGGCAGCTGATAATGTCTTATCAGTCGCATGGAATTGCTTAGCCGGAGCGATTCCGGCAGGGAGCTTTGTTGACTTTCATCCCCAACCTCTCTCCCAGCTCTCCACGCCACCTTTCTGCTCTTCTGATTCTTCTATTTAAGTGACAATCCGCGTCCTGTTATAACCTGTCGCCTAGGCGGCTACGACTTCGAACATGACACGACACACCTCTGATTTCCTGCGTCAGCGCAGCTCCAACTTGTCTCTCCGAAACGCAGCAGCCGTGAACTGTATAACCATGTCTCCGTTGTCGAGTTTCGCCAACCCTTCCGAGTCCGAAAATGGACGGGCTATATCCGACGCGGAAAAGGCGTTTATCGTAGGCGACTTGGCTCACTCTAGCGAACCGTTCGTCCTTTGCGATTCTTGCAGTCGAGATATACCAGACCACTGTCTTGACTCCCATCTTTTCATACTCACGGACGACCGAAGCTCATGTTCCGTTTGCAATGTCGCATCGACAAAACCCGAGGCTTTCACCGAGCCCTTCTGCAGGTTTCTGCAGGAGAACCCGACCGTATTTCACGCTGTCGGCTATTTCAAAGACAAGATGACATCGCTTGGCTATAAGGAGGTTGGTGTTCTTTAGCTGCTACTCTCGAGATGGTTGAGCTAACCATCGCCCTAAGCTTCCTCCACGGGACGATTGGGCTGGCAAACTCGAGGCCGGTGGCAAGTATTTTGTCACCCGAAACGGCACGTCTGTTATTGCTTTCACGGTTGGAAAGGCGTATAAACCCGGTAATGGAGTGGCCATGGTTGCAGGTCACATCGATGCCTTAACAGCAAGACTCAAGCCCGTTAGTAAGAAACCGACCAAACATGGATATATTCAACTAGGCGTGGCTCCTTATGCTGGGGCACTGAACGAAACATGGTGGGATCGCGACCTTAGTATCGGAGGTAGAGTTATTGTACGAGACGAGTCTGGCAAGACTTCAAGCAAGCTCGTCAAGCTTGACTGGCCCAGTAAGCATATCGTAGGTGAAAATGGGTCTCCCAGCTAATCGAATACAGTTGCCCGTATACCGACGCTCGCACCTCATTTCGGAGTCGGCATGATGGGTCAGAACAACAAGGAGACTGAAGCGGTGCCAATTATTGGACTTGACAATTCTGACATTTTGTCTTCGGATGCTAAGCCAGTTAAGCCCCTTGGTCCACCTGGATCGTTCGTTTTCTCTCAGCCGCCGAGGCTTGTCGAATTAATCTCGAAGCAACTGGGTATCAAAGATCACTCGCAAATCGTGAATTGGGAACTGGAGCTCTTCGATCTTCAACCTGCGACCGTGGGTGGAATGGACAAGGAATTCATCTTTGCTGGCCGGATTGATGATAAGCTATGCAGCTGGGCCGCGTTCCAAGGACTCCTAGCCTCGGAGACAAACGATGACGACGGAGTTATAAAATTGGTTGCGCTTTTCGACGATGAGGAGATTGGTTCTCTTCTTCGACAGGGTGCGAAGGGCAATTTCCTACCATTTACCATTGAGAGAGCCGTTGAGGCGCTATGCGGAGAGAACAAGACGTTTGGCCCTGGTATTGTAGGCCAGACTTACGCACGATCTTTCCTTGTGTCGGCTGATGTTACTCATGCCGTAAACCCGAATTTCCTCGGCCGTTACCTCGAAGGCCACGCGCCTCGTCTCAATGTTGGAATTACCATCGCTGCAGACAGTAATGGTCACATGACTACAGATGCAGTATCTACAGCTATTGTCACCAGAATTTGCGAGTTAAGCGACTGCACGCCGCAGGTTTTCCAGATCCGAAACGACTCCCGAAGCGGTGGTACAGTCGGGCCAATGCTGAGCAGTGCCATGGGTGTCAAGGCTATTGACGCGGGAATGGCTCAACTCAGCATGCATTCGATCCGTGCTACGTGCGGAGCTCTCGATCCCGGCCTAGGCGTTAAATTCTTCAAGGGATTCCTTGATAGATGGGAGAAGGTCGACGCTGAGTGGCAATGAGATTAGGACCTCCGGGGCTGCTTGCGAATTTACTATCGTCAGAGTGTACAAATATGCATGTCAACATCCGTCTGTTGGTTCCAGGGAGCACGTTGATTGGGTGTTTTAAGGTTGCTAGATTTTGATTACTTAGAGTAGACGATTTAAAGCAGATAATTACTACATAGATGTAGAAATATGTATACATTAATTTAGAATGAATACTTTCTCACGCGATAATCATTAATGGTATACCTGACGTAAGCAAATAGTGTATCAGGTAAGGGAGAGTTTTTACCTGCAGGAAATGGAAGCCATTCACAGCGGGATCCTTTCACATGCAAATGCAGAATGATGCAATTTGGGACCTGCAAGGGGGTTACTGAGTTTCAATGGTGCGCTACGTACCGACTAGCTCGGGTGGTACACTATTATTTCGGGAACTTTTTCGAATAGGAGGCACGCGACCGTCCTGTGATCAATATAATTCGAAAATGTGTTAACCATAGATGGATATCTTGATGGTTATTAATACTGTACTAGCTATTGCATAGCTCCATTAGCATTTATAGGAGCCACATTGAGACATTGTCGTAGCTAACAGATTGTGAGAGATTCGTAACGGAAATGATGACGTGTTTTGGAGCTAAAGCAGCTGAAGAGGCCCAGGAATTGTGAGGCGCCATTGGTTCGTTACTTCTTGTCTTGAGCTTCAATGCACTTATATCAGCCCATGTCCTTCACGATAATGACTTCCGACGTCTCCTGGTGCTCATTTTTATTCTTCATATCTGTGGTATTTGCGTATTTCGTAGACTGTTTTAATAAGGCAAACATTTACCCGTTTTGTGAAACGTCCTCACGGCTTCTGATTAGACCTTCCTTCGTTTCCGTGCACCTGCGGAAGCAACCTCAGGCCAAGCGACGAGGCTGTGTTCGCTGGATTAATTATTTTTCTCCTTGTCCTAGCGCCGGCGAACCGTTGGGTTTATCCTTTTATCTTCAGGAATAAAATTTCAGGAAATTCGCTTTTGTGCGGATTGCCAATCATAGATCCTTCCTCGAGCCACTCGTTTCTACGGTATCGAAAACACGGATTGTTGACCCGGTAGGCTCAGCTCTGACCCTGCGACGGAACGTCCCAACAACATATCAAAGCAAGTCGCCATGGCGCAACCAGCAAATCCGTCGAGTACCGACAAATTGAGCGCTCTGCTCTCGCGATTGAACCCCGTCCCGGGTTTCGCAGACTACACCGGTCCTTATAAAGTCGGCACCGTCGATGTCGAGATCCCCGTCTCGGAGCTCGAGTCTCCAGCCCCGGCACCCCCCAATGCGGCCGATATCGAGACGATTCAGTTCCGAATATTCTACCCGGCACACCCGGATGCTCAGGGAAAGCGCATAACGTGGCTGCCAACACCGCAGCGGGAGCATCTGTCTGCGTACGTCCAGTTCTTGGGGGTTGGGCAACTACTGGCGAATGCCGTTTCGTAAGTCGATCCGTATTGCCATAATATAGATATTACTTGGACGAACTGCTCGAACTAACACTTGTATATATAGCTTCCTACCGAGACATCTACACTACACCACGATACCCGTCATTAAGAATGCGCCGGTACTCGAACCTAATACCCCGAACAAGCGATGGCCCACGGCCATCTTCTCGCACGGCTTAGGCGGCAGCAGAAACGCATACTCGCAGATAGTTGGGACCATGGCATCTCACGGCGTCGTGGTCATATGTCCGGAACATAGAGATGGCAGCGCTGTGGCATCCTTCATCCGTATCCCCTCGCAACAGAACCGGTACTTCGTGCGTAGCACACGACGCATGGTCCCGTACCAACGCATCAAGCACGACCCCACGGACGAGGTATACGCCCTACGCAACGACCAACTGCGCATACGGCTTTGGGAAATGGGCCTACTCCACGAGGCCCTACTAGGAATTGATAAAGGTGTGGCGTATACAAATCTGAACAAGAGTACCCCGTCTCTCGCCGATTTCGTGGGCAAACTACATGTCCATGAGCCGGGCAGTATAATCTTTGCCGGCCACAGCTTCGGTTCTGCTACTATGCTCCAATTCCTCAAATCTGTCTTCTACGCTGGCAGCCCCGAGCTCGAGAATATGGAGGACCAGCTATACATACCGTCCCGCGAATCTTCGATCTACAGACAGATCACGCCGCGTAATGTCACTATCCTGCTAGACATGTGGTGTATGCCACTATTCGCTCCAACAACCAAGGCTCTCCGGGACCTCCCCCTCCCCGCGTACGCCGAGCCGCACCCATCTCCTCCCTCTGCGTCTCCAGACCCATCAAACTCACCCAATCCGCACCCCTCACCCCCAATCCCCGGCGGCAACGCCATCCTCGCCATCGAATCCGAGGACTTCTTCAAGTGGAAAGAGCACCTCCACGGCACCGCGCGTCTCCTCTCGCCGGACCCGTCCGCGCCCAAGGTCCAAGCCGCAG